ATAACAGGCTCCGTCCTCCTTGAGCCATTCTCAAGTAAAGAGGAGTCGTGATATGTTTTTGATGCTTTATTATTGTACGGGTCGTGACCTTCAAGAGTCAGAATATTGTTAGCAAAAGACTTGCTTATCGAATAGCCAGATGTTGAAGAAAGATTAAACGGTAAAATACCTTCTTCGCTCATACCTTCGCAAGCACTGCCTATAGCCTCTCAGAGAAAACAGTCTTTTGATCAGCATGACCCATGAAAATGGAATTATCGCCTAAATACCTTCAAGATGCAAGTAGAGTGAAAAGCACAAGGAAAAGTGTTTAGCTAACCGATGCATGTCCGTTCATTTTCGCCCTTTTGGTAGCCGGGTCCGCAGTTGCAGACGTAAGTGCCTTCCGTATTCATACACGTGTGTTCCCTCCCGCACATATTGGAGTTCAGAGCGCATTCATCAATATCTATATATATGAAACACAATTCCAATGTAAAGCTATATAATTAAAAGTAATTAGAATAAATATCGAAATATCAACAATAGTCCGATTCTCGGCCCAGCAGCACGGACTTGAGCCACATAACGGAGAACTTACTGGATCTAATCTGATAGCGTCTGATTTACGAAACTTTTTCGATGGACGGAAAAGCCCTATAGACACAAAAAGGCTATGAAAAAGGGGGGGTAAATTGGGTTTTCAAAGATTGGTATCATTTATTTGACGGCTCAATTAAGCCAGTTAGGCAAACTCCCCCTCTGTAGCCCCGAGCCATCTTGCCGAAGTACATTGACAACGAAGAATGTCGTAAAAATGAGTCTAAATTGCATCACAAAGTGTCGCTTTTGCCCTAGTGACAGTGTTGATAGACGTCAAGTTCACTGTGGGTTCTTGTTTTTAGCGTCTTTATTCAATATAGAATTTTGAAAGCCTCATTATGCAGATTTATTATTCTATTAAAAAGGCATAACTGAATGAGCTGACACGTCAAGAGAAAGGCTTGTATCAATAGCCGTAGATGCTCTCAGTAAAACACATAAAAGTCAACATGTGCTTATTTATGGAATTCAGTGCCAGTCACACTGCAGCATGTTAACATACGAGTTTTCACTTAAAATCTAGACTTAAAGACTCATAGTTCGAGATAGAAGCTGATAGATATGTCAGGTTAAATTACAAAAAGCTACCAAAACTTCATGTGAAGCAGGCCGCTTAGAAGGATAAATTCAGAAAATTTAATTCATATTGAATACATTTAAGTCATTTGAATAAATTTTGTATAAAAAAACAGCATAAAATCAGGCATTCGTTTGTTTCGTAGGGAACGTTGCAAGATTCTTACATTAAAAATATGCTCTTCTCTCCTTATCCAAACAAGGCCGAATGGCATGCCTGTAATACAGAATATAGAAACACACTAAGGCGTAGTCCCGACGTACTGGCCTAGCCATTAGCTTGACTGCAGAAACAAGGCCTTGTGCAGCGCAGGTTTTCGCCCTATTAAAAGAGTTAATGGTAGCCCATGGCTAACTTAAGTTCATCCTAATCACTAATGAGTAGACCGAAAATGGGCTAGTTGGCAAGCGCACGTATACTTTTAGAGTGTGAGTCCATTCCTCAAGGCCCTGGAGAATGCTAGCGGAGGGAGTGCAAAGTAAATGCTTGTTAAAAAGTTGAAAAAGCCAGAAATACAGCGCATTAGAGGATGGTAGGATTGGAGGCAGCTAAATGGATAAACTAGGGGCAAGGGGAGACATTTTAAGTGCAAGTGGTCTCCTCAAGCATGCAGCCGAACTAGGCGGGTGGAGTACAACGTTTGGTATATAAAAATAGTAACTTGGTTCTAATGAAGCTCCTCATAACATTTGTGACCTTTATTTAGTGTGAAAGTGCCTTATAAAGAGATATTTAGTCCGGTATCAGCCGAAGACGACAACTGCTTCCTGAAATTCTGCACTCATCTGAGTTTACTACGATTTAAAGTCCACGGGCAGAGTCTTCAGTCGTCCTATTGCAAACATTTGTAGAGCTGGAGCTTACTCTTGAAAAGCTTCAACTCGAGACTAAGTTCCAGCTCGAAAGTCTTTCGTCATAGGACAATAGAGCACTCAGCTCGTAGACTTAAAGTCGTCATAAAATCAAACGATTTCCCAATTCACGATTGCACAATTTCAGAAACCAATAGTTGCCTTGTGGTGAGATCGACCTTAAGATCCCTTTATGAGGCCCTTTTACAATAAATGAGTCACAAATGTTATCTGAGGAGATTCATGAAAACCAAATTACTCTTTGAATATATAGTAACTGATGCTCTATCTGCATAGTTCGACTGCGTACACCTATATATATATATATATATATATA